GCTCAAAATTGCAAAAAATGAAAGACTTTGTTTTGAGCAGAGATCCCCAGGGCACCAGGCTCCAGAATGGCAGCAGCCTATGGAGTGGGAATTGAGTCCTCAGGTTTCAATTCTCAGTACTCAGCCACCCAGGCACTCAGAGGCCTCTGCAACCACCAGCAGGAGGCAAAAGGGCTTGGCCACTCTGCAGGCTGACATGTAGAATGCAAGAGTTGTGGGGTCAGGAAGGTTTCCACCCAGACTTCAGAAGAAGACTTGGGAGGCCAGGCAGTGTGCTCCTGAAAGGGCAGAATATGAAGCTATGTGTGAGAAGCCAAAGGTGCAGTGGAGACTCTGAAGTTTAGAGAAGCTAGAAATGTGGATCATCTGAGGAGAGCTCCAAGGAGAAAGTAAAGCCAGCCCAAGAGAGAAGCCCTAAGAGCTGCAATATGGCAGTGCCTTAGAGGCAAAGCCACCCAAGTCCTTTAGATTTTACAACTTGCCACAGGTTGCCCCATGAAACTATGGGATTTAATATTTGCCCTACTTGATTTTGGTCTTCATTTTGTCCTAAATCTTTCTGTCTCTCATTTCTACCATTTGGAATGGGAATATTCACCTTGTGTGATAGTATGTTTGAAGTGTTCAACTTTGTTTTCATTTTTACAGGATTTGCCTTAAATCTCAGAGGAAGCCAGGTGTGGTGGTGCACACCTGTGATCCCAGCACTCAAGAGGCTGAGACAGGAGGATCACTGTCAGTCTGAGATCAACCTGGGCTACAAAGTAGGTACAAGGCCAGGCTGAACTGCATAGTGAAATCCTGTCTCAAAAGAGAAAACAAAACATATCTCAGAGGAGACTCTGGACTTGGACTTTTCAATGATGTTCAAACTATTAGGACTTTGGCAACTCTTTGAGGGGGACTGAATGTGTTTTGCATAAAGGGATGCACAGGAATCTTTGTGGGGCCGGGAGCAGAATGCTAGGGTTCATATCTAGACATCCCCTTAAAACCTCATGCACTCATAGGTGGTGCTTTTGGGAGGTGACTAGAACATGGGAGTGCGATACTTACCAGTGGATCAGCCCACTAACAAGTTTACAGCCACATATGATGTGGGGAGGTGCAGTCTGGTTGGAGGTGGGCTTTGGGGGCGTGGCCTAAAAGGGTCTATTTCCCTCCTCCTCCCTTGATCCCTCTCTACTTCCTGCTGCCATGCCATAAGCAAGCTTGTTCTGCTGTGCTGCCCTGCCTTGGAGCTGCCTGACTGTGGACTGAAATCTTTACAAACCGTGAGTCAAGATAAACCTCTTTTCCCTGAGCTGTAGGTATTAGGCATTTTGTACTAGCAACAAAGAAAGTAACTAAGACACACACACACACACACACACACACACACACACACATACACACACACCTATTTCCTTTTTATCCTTCATCTAAGGCAAGATCTCATCATCTACACCATATTCAGCATCACTCTGCTGTTTTTCCAGTTCAGACACTTTGCAGTTCTTCCCTAATTCTGCCTGCCATTCTGCTGTAGGAATATTCTGGAATGATACTGAATAATCCTTTTCACATTCTGGATGCCCTTCACTAGAAGCTTTTATACTGCCTGGATGATAGCTTTTGATAGATCATTCATGGGGTTAATAATCAGAAGCTGATTGTTTAAAAGTGATCATTAGAAAGTGATATTGAATAGAATATTCAAGTGTAATGAATGTAATTCATTGTAAGAGAATTTCTTTTAAGATTAATAACTTTTCATGTTGAACTTGCTTTTAAGGGTGGTAAGAGGAGATTACTGTAACTGCTTGATTTTTTTGCTATTGTGGTTATTCTTTTTTAAAAAATTAACTATATAAAGGTTATGGACCACACTTGGTCTAAAAAAAGAACTGAACAGAAATGGGACTACTTATCAACACATCTATTAGTTGCTGGGCATGGTGGCGCATGCCTATAATCTCAGCACTTAGGAGGCTGAGGCAGGAGGACTGCTGTGAGTTTGAGGCCAGCCTGGGCTATATAAGCTAGCTCAAGGCCAGCCTCAACTGCATAGTGAGACCCTGTCTCAAAACAATACAAAACAAAACACATCTATTGGTGACCTGTGAGCTGGACCTCGTACTCAGGACTTTCATGGATTAAATTGTTTAAGCACCTGTATAGTTTATGATGAGGAAGCTATGGAGAGGCTGCATAGCTTGCGTAGGGTCACACAAACCTTCCTGAAGACACACACAAATGTTGGACATATATTTTTGTAATGCAGATTTATCTTTCAGTTCAAAATCAAGAAAGGTACATCTCCAGGTGCCACAAGTGAATGGGTAGAAACAAGACAAAACAAAACATGAAGAACAAGCTAGAGCCACACACTGGGTCTAAATTTTAGCTACTCGTGATGTACAGAAATCCCAAGGTGGAAACTGAGATGGAAAATTGAGAGTCTGTGAACCCTTCAGGCTTAGGCAGAAGTAACTACAGAGAGATCACTACAGTCTGAGGAGCTATTGGGCCCAATTCCATTCTCAGATAACAAGAAGAGCACCTGAGGCATCCACAGTCACTTCAGCTTGGCTGGAGGAAAAGGTGCGAAGCATCTGTGCACAGAGAAGGTAGGTGTGCTGCTGGGGCTGCCGTAACAAAGCACTGTGGGTCCAAGAGCTTACACAAGAGAAACGTGTCATCTCTCAGTCCTCAGGGCTTCAAGTCCGAGATCAAGGTGCTTCCGTGTCTGGTTGCTTCTGAGGCCTCTCTCTGGGCTCGAATGCGATGGCTGTCTTCTTCTGGTGTCTTCACCTGGTTTTTCTTCTGTGCTGCACATGTCCGTGTCTAACTTCCTCCTCTCACAAGGAGACAAGTCGTGCTGGATTAGGACGGCACCCCAGAGCCCCACCTTGCCCGGCCAGTACTAGGAATGAGGCCTTCAACGTAGGAACCGGGGCTACACATTTCAGCCCAAACTTTTTTTGGTTCTGCCTTCAGATCCAATTCTACAACTGCTCACTGTGTGACCCGGGGGGGGGGGAGGGAGGGGAGGGCTGTTACATAACTACACTTTGCCTCATTTTCTCTTTGTAAAATGAGGGTGGTAAATAGTACCTGTTTCATAGGGCTGCTGCTAGAATTCAATAAATTTATGTTTGTACAGCTCTTAAAAATAGGTACAAAATGCTTCAGGAGATAAGGAAATAAAATCTATACAACATGAATGGGAAATTTTAAAAATTTTAAAACAAATTCAAAGAAGCAAGTAGACATTTTAGAGATAAAAAAAGACGGCATTAAAAAAAACCTTAACGAGGCATCACTTTAGATATAGTGAGATTTAGTGATTTGGAAGATATATCTGAGAAAAATCACCCAAGATAAAGCCCCAGGAGACAGAAATGGAAAATACGAAAGAAGTCAAAAAATATCTACAGCATAAATCGAGAAAAGCCAGTAGGCATTTAACAGACTGTTCTGCAGGAGAGAAGGAAAGTGCAGGGAGGCGACAGTCTAAGAAGTAATGACTCAGGCTTTTTCAGAATCGAAGAAAAACACGAATCCTGAGGATGAAAAGGCATGCAGAGTCTCAGGCCAGGTAAATGGAAGAGAATTCACAGCGGGGCACCCCGCAGTGGAGCTGGGGATATGAAAGATACACAGCACACCGTAAAGGCCTTCAAAGAGGCAGACCGTCGAGGCAGTGCTGACCCTCACTTCCCGGGAATCTGGCCAGGCCTCTGTGTCCTGGGCCCCAGGCCTCCATCCCCACTCTAGATGTTTTGTTCTCCTTCCTGGCCTTGCCCAGGTCTGATGCCTGCCGCTAAGAAAGCTCCCTGACTGCATGTGCACCACCCCCACGTGCCTCGCTCTCGCCAATGTCACCGTTCTGGCCCTCCCTGAAGCCCTTGCTCCCTGCCTTCTCTGACCTCTGCTCCTGGCCGTCTGATATTTCCCCCGTAAGCCCTGGAGCTCTCGGGCTTTGTCCAGACCCTTCTCCCCCTGTCTTCCCCTTCTGAACACAGGACGTGTTCAGTGCATATTTTTGAACACTTCATCAATTGCTCCTTTGGGGTCAATTCAGTTTGCTCATGGAACCAAGCCCGTTCATCCAGGCTCTTTGGTCTTTTTAAGCCATGTTTTCCAACTTGGTGATCTGGTCAGGATAGAGTTAATGGGCACATTTCAAAGCCATGTTCTTAAGCCACGTTTCAAAGTCTTATACTATATTACTTTTTGTTCTTTTAAAAATACCTTTTTTTAGCCAGGTGTGGTGGCACATGCCTGTAATCCCAGCACTCAGGAAGCTGAGGCAGGAGGATGTTTATGAGTTCGAGACCAGCCTGGACTACAAAGTGAACTCAAGGCCAGCCTGAACTGCATAATGAAACCTTGTCTCAAAGACAAAACAAAATATATCTTTTTAAACAATAATGTTTGGGCATAGAAAAATGTAGGAGAAAATAGACATCATTTACCATCCCATTAGTTAAATTACTGACAGTGCTTATTTATTCATTCTATAACTATAGTAAAAAGATACCTACTGTTTCATGGACGGCACAGTGCTAGACTTTAGGGAGGTAGCAACACATATTTTGCGTTTTGTTTATTTTTAATGTAGACTTTTCAGGATATAACACACTCACCCGCAGAAGGGGAACCCCAGCTTAGACGTCATCTTCTATCCTTCTTTTCATACTTCACACCATCCCAGCATTTTTCTTGCATTATCTAATTTTAAAGTGGGATTTTAATTAATTGGCTGGCTGACACCTCACAATCGCTTCCGTCCTGGACCCTTCGAGCACTGTAAAGGGACTCTTCCACAGCGACATCAATTAGTGGGTGGGGAAACAAGGGCAGGAAGGTGCCAATTTTCAGGGGAGGCCCTGGCCTCCCGTGGGCGTGGGTCTGACACGCGTGGCTTCATGGGGCTGGCTTTTGGGTGGGGTTTTTAAAGATAAATTCCAAGGTTGGAGTGACTCGGCCATTTCCCTCAGGACTGGTGAGCGGCGGGGACAAGGGGACCCGTTCAGAGCAGGCCAGCCAGGGACCACTGCACCCTGCGGAGCAATCAGATGACCAGCCTCCCAGGAAGGGAAACTAAGGCAGGAGTGCACTTGGCTCTGTGCCAGAGCACGGCTGGAACCGAGCAGCCACCTGAAGACACTGTGAAAGGACTGTGTCCAGCTGAGGCGAGGGGCCCTCCCTCCTCTGGTTCAAGATTAAGCAGGAAGTGCACTTGGAATGCACGTGGCTGCCTCTGACTTTCCCAGCTTCGCAGGCTTATTCATTCCTGTTTCCACATAGTGGGCTGGGGAGAGATGGTTTGTTTCCTGCTGGTCAGCAAGTGATTTATCCCGTGGCGCCGGCCCATGGAGCCTTGCACGTAGTTATGATGGACACAGACGAGCCCCACGCATGCCAGATGCGGAGTTAAAGATGCGGATGGTTTATCTCCAGTGACCCTCACGTCCTTCCGCCTGGCCAGGTAACCTTCTTCCACTCACTGGTGGGTATTGTCAGGCACCGGTGGTGTATTAGAAGTTGCTCCAGGTACAGGTTTTAAGGGAAAGGAGGTACCTGAGGTCTTTGCTCTCTGCAGCTGTCAAACTTTAAATAACAAAGAGAGAGGCTGAAAAATACTGAGATGTGTTGGGAGCCAACGTCGGCAAGAGGAGCATGTGTGGGCTCCTTCAAAGTAGAAAGGGGCAAAGGCAGAACTTTGAAAGGTAGAACAGCTTATGTAAGGCATGCAGAACTAGGTAAGTTGTTTTGACACGGTAACCAGGGTGCTGTCAGTCTGAGATTGGGCAGAAAGCTGCGGGACGGGTGTCCTTGTGGAATTATTTCCACGCGCAGTTGGGCTGGCTTTGTGCAAGGCTGTGGTTCTGTGTCATCGAAGACTCTGGTGACAGTCCTTTTCATCAGAGACTTGCACGCGATCCATCCCCTCCCGGCTTGGTGAGGACTTTTGTCAGTGACTCGGTTTTGGTTATCACAATGCTCACACGTGTTGTGGAGTCTATTGTGGGATTTTCCTCTCTTTTTTCCCAGAAGGAAATCGAAGTCCCAAAAGGCCACTTGTTAGCCTGTGGCCCTGCTAGAAGGGCAGATGGGTCCTGCGGGGCTCCCACCGGCTGTCCCTGCCCTGTACTTTCATGGGCTCTGGGGAGTTTGTTCCCACTGGCGCGTGGCTAGCCAACGCCTCCATTCTTAGGAGGTCGTGTTGACTCAGGCTGCCAGGCTCGCCCTCTGATTCAGGCCTGACTGTGTAGGCAGCACCCTAATTGGGCCAGGGGCGGGCCTGCCCACCGACATCTTCCCTGGCGCAAGCTTGGTCGGATGTGTGGGAGGCCGACGTGGGGCTCCCTCGGGTGTATATAGGCCTGGGCTGAGCCAGGGGCCTGGGACGGAGGCGAGGCCCAGGCGTGCAGCAGCCACCCAGGGCTGCTCCCAGAAGTCAGGTTCCCACCGCCTGTGCTCGTGCACCTGGATCTGGCCGGGGCCCAGTGTGCTTGGAACATCCTCCAGGAGGTGCAGAGGTACGGCTTATCTCTCAATCGACACACACGTTCCTTTGTTGACACTGACACGACTCTTGCTCCTGGGTAATTATGAAAGGACGGCGTGGCATTTGGGAAATCCTCTGAAGATGGCAGCTGTGAGGCGTGCACCAGCTCACGAGCCAGCGCGGGGTGCCTCAGCCCACTGGGCGGTTGCACTCGAGCTCCCCATTGCGCTCTGGCCTGCCCAGAGGACCTGGGAAGGAAGGGGAAGGAGCAGGAGGGCTGGCATCAGCCAATCAGGAGCTCGGGAACTCCTGACTGTGCCCTCGAGCACTCGAGTGGTCTGAACTCCACTCTGAAAGGAAGCCCAGCCCGCGTCAGTGTGGGGGGGGTGAAAGCTCCCTTTGCCTTGGGTTGTGGGTCCCAGCAAGCCCTGGGTCTGCACTGAGCTATGGAGCCCGCAGGGCAACGGGTTTTTCTTGGGGAAAGAGGCCAAAGGTGACTCAAGGATAAAGGCTTTTCTGGGGAAAAGCCTCAAAGGATACCTCTTCCTTGTTCTCTGTAATCATGGGCTATCATCTGCTGTTGGGTGATCCCCCAGGGCAGGGCTGTGGCTCAGCCAGTCCTCTGATCCCAGCTGCACAAGGGATGCTGGATGCAGCCATGTGAGCTGTAGTTGGCAAAAGTGTGCTGGCCCAGAGGCCTAGGCCCCACGAGGCACCCACTAAGCCCCAGTCAGGCAGGAGAGGGCGAAAGGGAGGCAGGGACTGTCCACCCACGTCTTTGGGGGAAGCGGCACAGAACTTTCAGAGTCCCAGCTGCAGGACCGGAGCAGGAGGATCCGGTTCGTGGGAGCGTGGGTTGTGGAATCTGGAAGATCCAGGCTCAGATCCACCCTGCTCCACCACCCCTAAGCTGTGAGCTCCTGAGGAAGTCATCTCTGAGCCCCTCAGTCAGCCCCCTTCTCTGTTTCTTCATTTCTGCCACTGGGAGGCTGACTCCTGCCTGCCTCCTGGGCTGGGTGAGACGCTCCAGCACTCGGACTGGCACCTTCAGGATCAGACAAGGTGACAACCTCTGGGAGCCTTCCTCAGGGCCACGGGAAATTGCTGCCAGGGGTCCATTCTTGACATATTAAATAGCACTTTCTAAGAGTTTGAGATGATAGTAGCACCTCTCCGATTGCCTGGCCGGGGATTCTGGCCACCCCTCACCCCATCCAAGCTCACCCACAGGGCGGGGACCGTGTTAACCCCCACTGACAAACTCTTTCCTTCTGTACCCACCATAACTATGTCCCAGACTCCATGGGGCTGTCCCAGGGGTAAGTCACTGGCTGACGGCATTGTCCTTGAGCAGGAGGGCTGCATAGGTCAGATGAGTCTTTGGTCTCAGCACAGCCACATGAGGCTTGAGCAAGCTCGACTCTCTCACCTGTATAATGGGACAATAATGGTATCTGCTTCATAGGGTGCCCAGCACTTTATAAGGGCTGTCTGAGTATTTGGCATTGCTGTGGGGGATGCGTATTGTCTGTGGGTATGAGTTTGGGAAGCACTGAGTGACTGAAGAGGTAGAGGAGACCCCTCACGCTGACCCTGAATTCCCCTGGCCCTGTCTCTTAGGCCCAGCTGTGTCTCCAATACAAGCAAGACAGATGCTTAGAAAGATTATTGGCCTGCATAGCAGCTGGAGTTAGCAGGTGTCCAGAGCTCTCCTACCTCCAAGCTCTACAAGGGGCATTGCTGTGAGACCCTAGGCTGTACAGAAGGCAGGGCAAGTGCTGCAATCCCTGCAAGGGCTGGGACAGGTCTGGCCCTAGCTAGTCCTGTCTAGGGCTTTGGCAACATCAGTAACCCTTGCATCCCCATAGGACACAAACTCCACAAGAGCAGGTATGACAGTAAAACTTGATTACGTCAGCCTCATTGGCCTAGGACCCACCCAGGGAATTCACAGGACACAGTTTAGGGTGGGTCTGTGTGGGCCATGGGGGTGTGACCTTGGGCTCCGTATCTGGTCCCTTACTCCTTCCTCTGGGGCACTTCCTGGATGCCATGGGTTGAGCAGCTTTGCTCCACCACGGCCTTCTGTCATGGAGACCCTGCCTTGGAGCCAGCTGACCATGGACTGAATGCTCTGAGGTTGTGAGCTGAATCAACCTCTCCTCCTTTAAACTGTGGGTGTCGGGTGCCGTGTCCCAGTGATGGGGAAGCCGACTCAGCAGGTTCTTGTCTGTTCTACTCAGGGTGTGTGCTGAGTTCCTGGAGAGACGCCGGACACCTATGGATCTGCTGCCACCCTTAAGAAGGTTGGAGTCTAAACTGGGCGTGGTGGTACACTCTTGGAAGCCTAGCGCTTTGGAGGCGAAGTCAGGAGGATCACTGCAAGTTCAAGACCAGCCTGGGCTACAAAGTGAGCTCACGGCCAGCCTGAACTGCACAGTGAGACTCTGTCTCAAAAAGACAGGAAAAAAAAAAAAAAAAAAGAATACATGTTCCCCGCAAATTCCATGGCACGGGAACCAGCCCTCCATCAGTCTGCGGCCAGAACGCCGCTGACCTGCACACTCCTCCTCCATCTCTGCTTCTCAAACTTTGATCAGATGTGGTTTTTCCTGTTTACATTTCATCGCAGCCATACCTGAGTCTGCGTTCTTGGACAGCAGCCTGCAGATCCAGATTTCCTCAGACTTCCTCCACCTGTGCTTAGGTAATAACACCTTTTCTTTCTTTCTTTTTTCCCCTAGTGTAGCACTTGCCCTTTGAAGTTTTCTTTTGTCACCCGGCCCTCATAACAACGAGGGCTGTGAAAAGAACAGTGGACTGATAGACTCTGATGTATCAAACAGTGTTAAGTCGTAAGCGGAAAATTGCAGAAGAGCATCAGGAGCCAAGCCCGTGCCCCTCCCTGCTGTCCCATGGCCACTTCCTGTCCCCGAAGGCCGTGTCACAGGCACTCCCAGGAAGCGGGGCTCGGGATAGGACCCCGTCCCAGCCGTGGAAGGGAGGGCTCCTAGAGAGGGGAGAGAGGGAAGGCATGGGGAGAAGCAGGCTCCGGGAGGCGCGGCTGGCAGCAGGACGCCTTGGAGTCATAGGTCCTTATGCTCTGATGGGGTCGTCACAGGAAGCCCTTTCCTGGTATGACCTTGGGAGCAGAGGGCAGTCAGCTCAGCTGGAGGTCAGTCGCTCTGAAGGGAAACCACTATCTTCACTGTCACCACATAATCTCCGCTGCTCCCTGCCCCTTCCCCCTTTTCAAGACAGGGTCTCACTAGGTAGCCCAGGCTGCCCTCTAACTCATGGCAATCCTCCTGCCTCAGCTTCCTGAATGCTGGGGGTTATAGGTGTGCACCACCACACCAAGCCTTTTTTTTTGTTTGTTTTTTGTTTTTTTGTTTTTTTGGTTTTTTTTTGGTTTTTCTCTGGTACCGGGAACCGAACTCACAACCTTGCGCTTGCCAGGCAGGCGCTTTTGCCGCTGAGCTAAATGCCCAGCCCCTACCAAGCCTTTTTTAGGTGAATGCGTATTAGTGATTATTTTCCCACCTCTGGGGCTTCTCCACCTCAGTTAGCAGCCGGGAGTCCACCCCTCTCTCCCTCTGTTGAGAGGGCCCTGCCTGCCTCAGGGTGAGCCCCTGCACCTGGATTGAGGGGGGCTCAGCCCCAGGCAGCCCAGGAAGCACAACGTTCAGAATCCAGGCATCCCCCCAACAACAACTTTCTAGGGCTCTGGGCTATAAAAAGCTGCCGTGTGTCATTTCCTGGCAGTGGGACAGCTGCAGAACGCCACTTGCTGAGCGCTCCTCTCCCACCCAGCTTTTTCACCTGATGATGAGCTGTCTGGAGAAAGCAGAGGAAGGTTACCCGAGTCTCCGGGGAGGGCACTGGTTAGCTTGGAGCACAACCAACCACCAAGTACGTTTCTCCAGCATCTCCCTAGCACCAGTCGTGCTGCCGGGGGTGCTGCCAACCCCACGGAGGCCCATGCAGAACTGACAAGCAGGGTTTCGGATGTGAAGCAGGAGCCGGGCGTGGTGGCACACACCTGCAATCCCAGTACTCTGTAGGCTGAGGCAGGAGGATCACTGTGAATGTGAGGCCAGCCCGGGCTACATAGCGAGTTCAAGGCCAGCCTGAACTACACAGTGAGACCCTGTCTCAAAAAAAGAAAGGGTTGTGGGGAGACCACTCCAGAATGGATCAGCTCTCCTGCGGATGAGTGTCACCTGTCTGGACTGGAGACTCTGGTTCCTGACACAGGTGCGAGTGCAGGTGACAGGTGACCCATCTTTTCTTCCTTCTTGTTCCCCAGTCCCATGGAGACCTCCCAGGTCCTGCAGCGGAACAGGCTGTTCCGGTCGGGAAGCCACATCTACAGGATCCCCGCGCTGCTCTACCTGCCGGGGCAGAGCACCCTGCTGGCCTTCGTGGAGAAGCGGAGGAGCAGGAAGGACGAGCAGGCCGAGCTGATCGTCCTGCGCAGGGGAGCCTACAACGCAGCCACCCACCAGGTCAAGGTGAGAGCAGGGCAGCCGGCGTCTCCCCGCACACCCGTCTGCTGGTGCATGCAGGGAGACCCAGGCCTGCGTCTCCTGGAACACGCGCACCATCCCATCCCTTAGTGCCTGCGGTCTGGGGACGGAGAGAAAAGACACCCTGAAGCCCAGAAGGAGGAACAGTGCGTGGTCCCCTCACAACGTGGGAGTGAGATTAACCTGGGAGCCAGGGCTGGGGTTGGCGAAGAGGAGTTAACCCTGGCGTCCTGAGGCCGGCTGTCCAACATTAATATTAACATTAATATTATCATGACTTAGCGGTCATTACACGTGGCAGCGACTCAAAACATGAGGTTAGAACTGTTTTAGACTCAGGTGTAGCAGGTGTCCAGGCCTGGTGTTGTGGTGCACGCCTATAATGCCAGCACTTGGGAGGCTGAGGCAGGAGGATCATTTCAAGTTCGAGACCAGCCTGGGCTACAAAGTTAGCTCAAGGCCAACCCGAACTGCACAATGAGACCCTGTCTTAAAAAGACCAAAAAAAGAAAAGAGAAGATCAAAACCAGGTGTCCATACTCACGTGATGTGAAGCAGGTGGACATGGGTTAAAGTCCTGGTTCTGTCCCTTATCCGGAGGCCGGCCTTAGGAGACTCCCCCAGGCTTGCAGCCTCTTGCTGTCCAGAAGGGAGGCGGAGGGAGTAACACTGGTGTCCCGGCGTGGGCAGATGGGGGATGTGGTGATGTTGGCTTTCTGGAAGAGTCCGTACCTCCTGGGGTGGGGCAGCTGTTAGTGAATGTGGATTGATGCTCATGACACAGACTTGGCTTCAGAAAAGCTCAGTGTGAGGCCTGCACCCCCACTCCAGGGTGGATGCATTAAAAGCGGATTATGTGTGCAAGATGGGAGGTGATCATCGTAGTCTGCTGCACTGGCCAGAGAATGAGGGAATGAAGTGAGCCCTGGGTCCCCCTTCTGAGGGAACAGAACTTTGCAAGTGAGGGCCAGAGGGCTGCTCATGGTCTGCACCCACCTCTAGACACCCCAGTCCTCTTGCCGAGAGTGTAGCTCTTGTCACTGTCACTAGCTCTTTTAAGGCTTTTCCTTCGCCCCTCTCCACCCACGCAGTGGCAAGCTCAGGAGGTGATGGCCGGGGCCCAGCTGGAGGGCCACCGCTCCATGAACCCGTGTCCCCTCTACGACGAGCAGACGGGGACCCTCTTCCTCTTCTTCATCGCCATCCCGGGGCAGGTCTCTGAGTACCACCAGATCCAGACCCGTGTCAACGTGACACGGCTGTGCCAGGTCACCAGCATGGACCACGGAAGGACCTGGAGCCCCGCCAGGGACATCACGGATGCGGCCACGGGCCAGGCCCATGCGGAATGGGCCACCTTTGCTGTGGGCCCAGGGCACTGTGTGCAGCTGCACAACGGAAGCCGGAGCCTGGTGCTGCCCGCCTATGCCTACCGCAACCGGCCCGCACCGCTGGAGCCCGCGCCCTCGGCCTTCTGCTTCCTCAGCCACGACCACGGGCGCACGTGGGGGCGGGGCAGCTTCGTGGGCCAGGACACCTTGGAGTGCCAGGTGGCTGAGATTGAAGCCATGGGGCACCGGGTGCTGTACCTCAATGCCAGGAGCCCCCACAAGGCCAGGGTCCAGGCCCAGAGCACCAGTTATGGGGTGGATTTCACGGTGAGCCCGTCGGTGAGGAAGCTGGTGGAGCCTCCCCACGGCTGCCATGGGAGCGTGGTCAGCTTCCCCGGCTCCAGGCAGGGCTCGGGCTCCGTGGGCGAATGGTTGCTGTACACCCATCCCACGGATCCTGATGGAAGGTTCAACCTGGGTGTCTACCTCAACCAGCGGCCCCTGGACCCCGAGGCCTGGACCGGACCGGCCCTGCTGGCCTCGGGCAGCTGTGCCTACTCAGACCTGCAGAGCATGGGGCCTGGCCCCGACGGCTCCCCCCAGTTTGGCTGTCTGTACGAGGCGGACAACTACCAGGAGGTGATCTTCCTCATGTTCACCCTGAAGCAGGCCTTCCCCACCGTGGTCTGGGCCCCGTGAGGGCCACAGACTGGCCAGTGGCTTCTTTTTCTGCCTTGGGGCACTGACAGAGGGGACACACTCACCCACTTTCCTGTCCCCACCCTTTGAGAGGCTCCTCGACCCCTCCTCTGGCAGCCTCTTAGCTCTGTCTGTATCCAGAAGATTCTATTCTATTCTTAGCCCAGCTCAAAGGAGGCTGGCTTTCCTGAGCCCCTTGACAGGGAGGGCAAGAACAGCCTGAACAGCAACTGTCACGCTGCCCAGTGGCTGTCAGACTGCAGGGCTCGACCCACCTGATCTCCCACCCCCAGCTTTTGTGTGGGTCCTGATAAAGCTCTGCGTCTAGCCCATTTCTTTCCTTTTTTTTCTTTTCTTCTCTTTTGAGACAAGGTCTCACAACGTAGTTCAGGCTGGCCTTGAGCTCACTTGCCCAGGCTGGCCTTGAACTTGCAAGGATCCTCCTGCCTCAGCCTCCCGAGTACTGTGATTACAGGAGTGTGCCACCACGCCCGGCTCAGCCCATTTCTTTCTGCTCCATGTTTGGCGTGTTCCTGAGGGAAGCTGAGCCAGAGATGTGAATGAGCAGAGACAGGCGTGTGTGTGTGTCCTGCCCACCCGTCTTCCACACCACTCACAACCTGGGCTATAGTGAGTTTAAAGCCAGCCTGGGTGATATTGCAAGACCTTGTCTCAGAAAACAAATCAACAGACCCCAAGCTGTGCAAAGGAAGCAGAGGTGGGGGTGGAGGCTGAGGCTGAGCCCAGAAGGGTAAGGTTTCTTAGGCCACCCAGGGCAGCAGACTCTCGAGAACATTCAGGTAGGTGATCCTATAGCGTCCTGTCCAAACTGGGATGCTTCTGAGCCTGCAGAGGGTGCTATGATAATGACACACGGCCGGGCAGTAGGCATGAACCAGGACTGCCCCAGGAAAGGAGGATAAGAGAAAGACCCGCTGAAGATCATGCCAGGGGCTACATGGTTGAGCTCCTTGGAGAGCTACCCCCTGTGAAGCACCATGGTCCTGAGGCAGGAACAGAACAATGAGCCAAATGTCTCCTGCGAACTGAATGTCCCTCTCCTGGACTGTTGGCTTTTCCGGTTGGAATTCTCTGGGGACTGTGCAACACCTCTGATGGAGTACCCACCCTGACCAGCTGATTGGCACCTTGGGTGTGGGTCCCCACCAGGGCTAGGTCTTCAGACTCCTCAAGTTACTCTGATCTGTGTAAAACCCCACCATCCCAGGACAGAGGATCTCGAGTTCCTCCCGGTTCTTAGTGAATTCCAAGGCTGGTGTCTTCTGATCAGAACTTTTACAAAAGCAATGACTGGTTTGATTAAAGTGGAGTGGAACTGCTTATCAACAGTCACTGCTAAAAAAAAAAGCTGTGGATTGAGAGAGGATATTTATAACACACATACCTGACAAGAGACTTGTATCCTGAATATGCAAAGAGCTCCCACAAACCAATAAGAAAAAGACAACCAATCTGATAAAAATAGGTGAAGAGCTGGACCAGCCAATCACAGGGCAGGATGCACTGAAGCTCACCAGACACTTCAGGGAATGCTCAACACCACTGGTCACCAGGGAGATGAGGACCAAAGCCACAGGTCCTAGATCCACCACAATGACTAAAATTAAAAAGCTTAACAACAGCAAATACCGGCAAGGATGTGGAGCCACTGGAACTCCCACTTTTCCAGTGGAAGTATAGGTATTACTGGTATTACCACAAAGGAAAGCTATTATTTAGGATTCCCTAAACTAAGCCTGAAAATCCCCTAAGACGCAGCAAATCCTCCCTGAAGCATAGATGCGGGAGAGGCCAGGACACAGATCAGCGCGTGTACACACACATCTGTCTGCAGAAGCTTTGATCATAAGGCACCATTCAATCTGAAAACTCAATTAGAGAACGTTCAGCCCGAATATTACACACCTATGAAAGTGTGAACTACTGCTCTGCGATAGCTCAGGTCTCAGACATTATGCTGCCTGGAAGAGCCTGACACAGTACATACTGGACAAATGAGAACGCACCTTATGCTCCATTTATATGAAGTTCGAGCGTGGGAAAACGAATCCATGGTAAATAAATCAGTAGAGTGTTTCCGTCTGGTGCGGAGAGCTGCTGGTGAGGAGAGCGGCTTTGGGGTTCTCCATTATTCTATGGTTCCATCTGGGTTGTTTATGGGGCTGATTCCACGTGCAGAATTCCACAGGCTGCACACATAACATTTGTGGGTGGGTATGTACTATACATGCATTATGCCTTAACAAAAAAAAATTGAACTAGATCATGGAATTGCTATTTTAATTTTGACAGCAATCAAGTGTCTTGGGTGCTAAAACTTTAGAACAGCTGAGGCTGTAGCTCAGCAGCCCAGTGCCTGCCTGGCAAGCACAAGGTCCTGAGTTCAATTCCTGGTACAAAAAACAAAGAAACTTTAGGATAGAATTTTTGCACAAACTTTTTTGTTTTGGAAGAATTTTAGATTTTACAGGAAAGTTGCAAAGATAGAACACAGTGTTCCTGTGATACCCCGCACCTCTTTCTCCTACCGCTGAATCTTACATAACTGGTTCCTTTGTCAGAACTGAGAGATTAACATTGGTTCATGACTGTAGCTGAACTCTAGGCTTTATTGAGGTTTCTCCAGTTTTTCCACTAACATTCTTTTTTTTTTTTCAAAGAATAAATTTTATTTTTTAAAAATATTTAGTACATGTTTGTAGTACATAATGTTTACATTCCTTGTGTGGAGTAGGTACCTGTACAGAACACCTTTTTTTTGAGACAAAGGTTTCACTATATGGCCTAGGCTGGCCTTGAATTTATGGTGATCCTCCTGCCTCAGCCTCCTGAGTGCCGGGATTACAGGTGTGTGCCACCATGCCCGGCCCAGAACCCATTTTAATTCTTTTTTTTATCCCTTTTCCCTCTCTCTACCCTCCTCCATCTCTTGATCTCTGTCTCCTTTGAGAAAGATCTATCTCCCTATCTCTTATTACCTATCTGTTATTTTGCTCTTTATTTATAACTTAGGCTTCTCATATAAGAGAACCCACGTGATATTGAAGCTTGTGCGTCTGATTTATTTCACTTAACATTATGGTCTCAAGGTGCATCCGTTTTCCTGCCAAGGACTTGGGTTTATCTTTACTTGTGGCAGAGAACTCCTATGTTGTGTGCAAATACCACATTTCTCTATGCATTCACCTGTGAGTGAGCGTATAAGCCACTTCAGTGTGAGGCCGCAGGAAAAAGAACCCTTCTCCACTGCTGAAGGCTGAGAGCATAAACTGGTGCCGCCACTGGAAGTCAGTATGACGATTGCTCACGAAACTAAGACTAGAAATTCCACTCCACCCAGCTGCTCCATGTGCGCCTTCTAGGTACGGTACACTAACATTCTTTATGCGCAGGACACACTTAGTGCACTTAGTAATTCTTACTGTAACAAACTTGTATCCGTAGAGACACAAATGCGTGCACAGACTGACACCCAGGCCCAGCAGGACCGCCTCCCCTTTCTTCCAGAAACCACTTCCTAAAGAAGGTGTGCCGTGTGTGCTCGGGCCCAGGCCACCGGTGTGCAAATGCCAGAGCTAGTTTGGCCTCCGGGGTTAGGAAGGTGACCCCTTCCTAGTTAGTGACACCAAAGCTCCAGGGCTAGCTTGTGGTGCATCCCTAGGGCAGACACTGGCAGTTTTGAGTCCAGCGCCACGTCCTGGGACCTCTGCACGCGCAGACACAAGTGCCCGGCCACTGCGTGTCCACCGCCAGGCCCCAGCTGGAGGCTGGGCACCAGCCCTCTCTCACATCCCCGGCGACCTGACACTCGCAGGGTGGGGGTGGGGAAGCCCGGGCCTCTCCAGCACAGCCCTCTCCGCACAGGCTGGGGAAGAGGGTGGGGCTCCAGGCGTGGGGGCTCCGGGATGCCACTGCCACCTCACCTCTGAGCAGCTCCTCTCTCTCAGCTCACCACCTTAAACCTTACCCTCTGACGCGGCCTTCCAGGCAGGTGGAAGCCCCTGAGGAAGGGCTCCCAGGGCCGGGAGGGGACAGGGAAGATGGGGTACCTGCCCCTGGGGAGGGAAGCCCTACGAGGCTCACTGGGTCAAACGAGTAATAGCCCACAGAAGACACCGCCCCCCTAGTCCCTGGAAGCTGTGAGCGTCACCTCTCACGGAACAGGGGACTTCGCAGATGTGAGCAAGTTCATCTTGAGGTTACCCTGGACCGGCTGACAGCACACGTGTAACCCCAAGCGTCCTTCTGAGAGGGAGGAAGGGAGGGGTGATACAGAGGGGAAGGCGTACGACCTGGAGCAGGGTGCTGCGCCTGGCGCTGAGGACGGAGGAGGCGGCCTCAGCCGAGGACAGTGAGGGGTGCAGTCCAGACAGCCAGGGAGGTGGTGCCCAGAGTCCTGGGGTAGCTCTGCTGACACCCCGATGGCCCCAGGAGACTGACCCTGGACTTCTGCCTCCCAGACTCCAGGAGGAGAAATGTGCGGTGTTTTTAGCCATTAGGTTTTCGGGTGTGTGGGGACCGTGGTACGTGAGCCAGCACAAAGCCCTAAGAATAGAAACTGCCTGATATCTCTCCACACAGAAAGCAAAGAGGTGCTGGAGTCAGCTTTCGGTGACAGGACATCCTCTTCCCCGAGAATCTGAACCACACCAAGGCCGTGCACGCATGGGCACAGGAAGACATACATGTGCAAGTGCACACATGTGCACACATGGATGTGCACAGGAGCAGGCACACATGTGCAAATGTACAATACACACACGAATGCACACACATACACACGAGCAGACATGCCTATGCAAATGCACACACATGGACGCTCACAGGAGCACACGGAAGTGTGCAAATACACAGATGCACACACTCGTGAAGAGTTTCTGCTCCGGATCCCTCTTCCCACGGGATCCGGCTGTGTGTCAATTCAGGCCATGAGCTCCTGGCTGGATAGTTATACTGACATGGCCCACAGTTCCAATTTAGGGAGACCCCCTCTGCACTGCAGACCTGGCAGGGGGAAGGGCTGAGGTCAAGAAGCTTTTAGCGGGAACTTCCCAGTCTGCTGGGTCATCTCCATGGAAACCACACAGCCTGGTCCCAGGAGAGAAGAGGCAGGGTCCACTCTGCCCGCCGGTGATGGGAAGGGGGGGTCTGCCACTCCACACAACGCCAAGCCAGCTGCCCTCTTCACAGCGGCCACAAAGCCTCACCTACACGTCTTGATTCTTAGAGTGGAGACCATGGCAGCCAGGCAAGAAATGTCAGTCCTTGGAAATGGGCACGGCCTTGAAGTCACGGGCAAAGAGGTCCTGCCGGTTCCACGCAGCTAGTAGCAGGACCAGAGGGCAGCTGGTGTCCTGATCTCAGGC